ATATAAATACATAAAACATAAAAATTTAAACAAAACATTACTAAAAAAGAAGGAGAAAGTCTAAGAAGATGATGGATCTGGGGCTGAAGACAGCAGGCCCAGACATCATCCACATAATCGTTGTAAATATTTTAAGCTTGGTATGGTAGAGGGTGTTACAGCCTTTAGGTGGAAACCCTAACTGCTTATTATTACAGTAAATAAGTGATGGAGTATGAATTGCAGGGAGCTCTTTTATGGCTGAGCATAATGACATGCATATGGAGTTATATGATTAATCAGGCAGCAGTGCTTCTCCTGTCTCCCCAGGGTTCTTACCATCACTGCCTATGATCAGGGAATACATCTGGCTTCTGCTGGTTAGCAGTGGGGAAAATGTTGTCTGCCTCTGGTGTGGTCCCTATTATCTTTCCATTGTAGGGAGTCACGGAGATGACCCTGGGACAACCTCAGAGATGGTTACAACATGTGCAAAACGATATGTTGAGAAAGTGCTAGGAAGAAGCTCAGATTGGCCCTTCCCTGGCTCCCTGGGGTATAAGAGGAAGGAAAGCAAAATGCAATCAGGCTTGTAAAACTCTGTTACAATAACCTATCTCAGTAAAGTTCTAGTCATCTTGTGGTGTCTGTCTCCTGATCTGGTCAACCTCAAAGGGCTAACGGCAATTGAAGTGAGTAACAACTGCTAACATCTGTGATAGTTTGTTGCATTTATGCATAGTTTCATGTTGCTTGAGAACATACCCAGGAAATATGAACACAAAATGCATCATTATAAAAATCAACTGCTGCCATTCAGTTCTCCAGTAAAAAATAAAATTCTGCTGCTGGAACATTTTCCTATGCATGAAGATATATGATGGAGTGCTTTGGAAGAGATATTATTCTACTTTTCTTTTTGCAAATCACCCTGCCACTTTGTAAAAAATCTTCCTAGTAGCTTGACTGATTGCTAAAGACATCTTATAATTAGAAGACATTTTTTTAGAATTAAAACTGATATAAAGCTATTGCTTTTTTCCTGACATCTTTTAAACTTTTAAAAATCATCAATATTTGATTCTTGATGCTAAATATAGTCAGTTTTCTGCCTTCGGTCTAATGATTTGCCTTTTCGTGTTTTATCATCTCAACTGAAGATAATTTTCAGTGAACTTCTTTGAGAAATGTAGGTGTAGAATTCTGCAGTCCATAGTTACTGACATTGCACCAAATACTATTAATGTTATTCTTGTTTTACAGAGCTATAATTCTATAATTCAAACCAGTATTTTTCCTTTTTGCCAGAAGATCACATTGCTGAATTGTGTGTGATCTATTTCTTATGATTTGCAGTAACTCATAAATCATCCTTAGCAGAATTAAAAGTCTTTTTGTCATGCCTCACCTGAAATATATAGTTTTTGCTTTATCTGAGTAACACTTCATTGTAGTTTATAATGGATTTCACCTCATCAATACATGCCTAGCTCTCTGGCCCCTGATTTGCTAGAACTTGTATTTTAACCTCTGAAAGCTTGATATTGTTACCTCATTCCCTCCCTATGTTCGTCCAATTTCTCTAGCTTATATGTTGCTTTTATTTAGTGAGTATTTGCCTAATGACAGTTTTGTCAAATCCAGATTTTTCAGGATTTCTAAGGGAAAACCTCAATTTTCCTGAAAGGTAAATGAGGCAGGTGGTTACAGGAGAGAAGGAGGGGATGGAGAGTTGTTGTCTGTTGTTTTCCTTGGCATTTGTCCTGCATGGTTGGGGTGCTTCTTGTAACACTGCCCTCCCCTAGTTCTTGCAGCGAAGGTATCAAGCATGATGTGACAAGGAGTTTTGTTTATCACCCAATATCACAGAGCCTGACTGTGATTAGGACTAAGAAGGTGTGACTGGCCCAAGGTTACTCAGCTGGTTCCTGTGCCTAAGCAAGGACTAGAATCTGGCTCTCCCCACCCCTAGTTCTGCACTTAACCAATTTACAACTCTGTCCAAGTGGTTGATGGAGAATATTTGTGTTTTTCTCCCTGGAAGTATCCCTTCCATAAATCTGAGGGGGACAACAGCTAGGGTTGGGGCAATGGGAGAGTTAACACGCATTGTATCTTCCGATTGATTCTTCACTGTAAGATTTCACTCTTACGGATGTGTTCTCTCAGCTACCCTGCAATTGGAAGCAAAGTGAAAATTGCTAGGTTAGTTCTAGCCAGATTTCAGCTATGTCTGTCATTCAACCAACTAACCAAATTGCTGCATTTGTGCCATATTTTTATGCCATTGAAAACTGGCAACTGAGACAAATGAGAGGTTCTTGACCTCTGTGTACAGATCCTGTTCTTTCGCGCCCATCCCCCAGAGTTGCCTTGCTTTTTCTGATTCTCTTTCCCTTGCACAGTTGTATACAGACAGTTCCTGATGAAAATGGATAGACTCTGAGTCTGTGAAATAAAACTTTATCACCTACAGCAGCTTATTTGAAATGCCAGGAGGACAGTGTCTTCTTCCATGCTCCCTGCAGAAAACATTTGTAATTAAAACTTCCTTTAACAAGGCCTATGTGCCTTATTCTTTACAGCTTGTAGAACAGCTCTTCTGCTGTGGTGCCATTGTGACCATTTTAAAATTCCTAAAGCTACACCTAAACACAAGTTGTTATAACTCGTCCATCTTTTTTCCTTCTCATCTTTAACTCTTGATTCTGGGCCAGGAGACAACAATGGTAACCTCTCCTCTCCCTGGCAGAATCTCAAGCACTTGAAGGCTTTTAATCATTGTCTCCATTGACTTTATTTTCCTTTAATTAAAAAGGACCTGGTAATTGCAATTCTTGCAATTATTTCTGTAGATGGAATAGACTTGAGGGTAAAGATAAAAACGGAAAAGAGCTAGAGTCTAACTAAAAGACTGAGGCAAGAAATATCAGATTTAAAGCTCACTTTTCCCTTTTAGCTACATAGGCAAGCTTTTCTGTATTAATCCTACGTTTGCCAAGCAAGGATCCACCTTGTAGAGTTATTGTAAGGATGATTGAGATGGTGCTTTTGAAGTGGTTTGGATCCAAAGTGCTGTCAGGTGCTATGAACTATAATTGCATAAACTACAATAAACTGAGAGTGTTTCTGTTCAAATAGCCACCCAGCTTGCAGTGCCCTATTCCAGAATACTTCATCCCGTTCCCCCATGCACTATAACTAACGTTCAGCATTCTATAATGATTGGGCAAGTCCCATCTCATTCCTAGAGGTTTTTTCCCCTCCTAAATATATTTCTGCTTTGTACATGAATCCTGTTCCTATCTTCTTCTTCTGCATGTTGTTTGCAGTATTGTAGACCCTCAATACCAGAGGCTGCTGTAAGATACCTTTCTTAAATTGATGAAAGGTCCCTTCGACTAGAGGTCCCTAATTATTCCAGCAAGGGGAGGTGCAGAATTTTTTTACAAGATGATAAGGCTGTCATCCTATAGACACTTATTGGGAGTTAGTGAAAACACACCAGATTTTATCTAAACAAGCATGCCTAAAATTGGGCTATAAGGTAATTAAAAAAGTAAAAGTGGTGGTGAAAAGAGTTTTGATTAAGCCTGGTTAATCGTTTTGAAAAGTAATGGGTGAAAATGTCTCCACACGTGCAGTTTTCTGTGTAGCCATTTCATCTGCAATTGGTATTGTTCATTTGTTTACTTCTTACAAAGACTCAAAATTGATAAGGGTGCCAAGAGTTGTGTTGCACTTCTGTCTCATCCTTAAAAAAAACAAAAACTTTTGTTTGTGATCAATTGAAACACATTTGCAGTACAAACAAAAAATAAGTGTCTGTGCTTATAAACCATAATTAACTTTTCGTAAGTCATGTATAAAAACATGCAGCAGAAAAGCAAACATCACAAATATCCTAGACTTAAAAATCACGGCATTCATTTTAAATGCAGTTATACTTATTTCATACTGGTCATTGAGTTCTTACAGAAGATATGTGCTACAACAGATACACATATTTGTTGTGTATTGTACACTTTGAAAATTGATGGAACAGAGTCATTTTGATAAAAAGCAGTGGCTTATAAATTTTGTCTATTTTACTTTTCATTTAACTCATTTTGCTTTGAAAATAACCATTATTAACCTGTGTTAGTACAATTAAATTAATATTATTAAAATCTGTTTAAGAATTCACTTTTCTTCATGAAACATCTTTACTTTTATGTACTACTTATGCCAACCATTCTGAGCTCTTCCACTTTTTAAACATGGACAACCCAGGTTTGTCACCAATTACATATTCAAGACAGATCTATACGAGGAAGGAGAACTGAAAAATCACTCTATTTTCCAGCCAGGAGTCATTAGTCTGGCAGTGTCAGATTTCTTGATAAAGTTGGATCCAGTTAGAAGTAAAGTTTTTTTTCTATTATGAGTTGTATCCAGACCTCCAAAAGAGTTGTAACCCTCAAATGTGGAATATCTACTTTGGTATAGCCACTAAGGTCCTAATTAAATTGCTTTGGGAATCACAGTTTAATGGTTTCCTGACCAGTGCTATTTTAATACTTACACAGGTTCCTATGAAGTATAATTGTCAGTCTCTGCAATTAGATTGAATACCATATTATAATCCATATGACTGGGTACTTAAAAGTGATAAAGTTACTTGGTCAGATTCAAATTAAATTAGAACAATGTTATCAATACGTTTGCAGATTACTGTGCTGGTAAATTCTTGCCTTTAGAAGGTTCACATTTTATTTCTATTTATTCTGCTTATATTTGCTTTCTCAGGTGATTTTTTGCATTCTGGGCATCGTTCCACTCACACAGTCAATGGTGCTTGGTCCCCCTGGTCTCCATGGTCTCAGTGTAGCCGTGACTGCAGCAGAGGTATTCGGAATCGCAAGCGAATTTGCAATAACCCTGAGCCAAAGTATGGGGGATTGCCTTGCCTGGGACCACCCCTGGAGTACCAAGAATGCAACATCCTTCCATGCCCAGGTAAGTGGCTATGGTAGTTTGAAAATATGGAGCCATTTCCAAAACATTTATCTTTTCTAACCCTACTAGGAAGTAGTGAGAGACCAAGTGCTTTTACCATGACAATGCCCTAGAAACGAACAGGAAGCTTGATTTGCCTAAAATGTGTGGGGAGGGTTAAACTGCAATCCCAGTTGGGAGTATACTTATATTCAAAATGGTACCCTTCTGGAAACTATGCAATGGCTCCTAAATGTTTTTTTTTTAAACGTGCATTATACAGAAGGAATTATTCAGTTTTAATTCTTTAATTACACTCACTTTTGCATGAGAGCAGAAGAACAAGATCAAGCCCATCTTATTCCAGCATTTTGTATTTCTTGTGCTGGTCAGCCAGATGCCTAGAGGGTGCTGCAAGCAAAAGATGAAGACATATCCCTTTCCGGTTGTTAGAAGTTTTATTTGGAAGCATCCTGCTTCCAACATGAAGACAATATTGAGTCTTCAAGACCAATAAACCTTGATAAACTTGTTCCTATTTATTTTTTTATATACTAGTGTTTATAAACCATTCTAATCCCTTAATTTATCTAATCCACTTCTAAAGCTACCTACGTTAGTGGGTTACATTATCCTGTGGTAGTGAATTCTACAGGCTAATTAGGCAGCAGGTGAAAAAGTGTTTACTTTTCTCTCTTCCAGAGCATCATTGGAGGACCCATGGTTCTAGTGATTCTCTCTCTTTCTAGAGAGAGAAACTCTCTTTTTCTCCATGCCATACATGATTATACACTCCTCCGAAATGTCCCATATCAGTTACCATTTTTTCAAGCAAATAGTTTAAAGCATTCTAGCCTTTTCAAGTAGAGGTCTTTGAGCCTGCAATCACTGTGGTTGCCCTCTTCTGTAGTGTTTCCAGCTTTATTATATACTTTTCCAAGTGTAGCAATCAGAACTAAAGCAGACATATTATTGTTTGCTTAATGGGACTAGAATTTTAGCATTTTTATTTTCAACCCCCTCCTAAGGATCCCTAGAATGAAATTTGCCTTTTTCATTGCTGGTGCATACTGATGCAACATTTCATGATGCCGTTTACTGTGATTTTTTTCCTGACTGGTTACAGATGGCTCAATATATGTGGAGTTAGGATTGTTTTGCTCCCTTGCATATCACTTTACACTTACTTAAATTGAATTGCATTTACCATTTGGTTGACCATTTAGTTTAAAAGATCCTTCTGGAGCTCTTTGCTGTTATTTTTAGTTTTTGCTACCTTGAATAGTTTAGTATCATCTGGCCAGCTCACTGATTACCCCTAAGTCAATATCATTAAAAAGCACCAGCCCCAAATACAGATCCTTGAGGGACTCTACTACTTTCTTTTCTCCACTGAGAAAATTTTCCATTTATTCCAATTCTTTGCTTTCCTTTTTAAAATTAGGTTTCAGTCCATAAAAGACATGGATACTAATTTTATTCAAAAGCCTCTAATGAGGAACTTTGTCAAACACCTTTTGGATATCCAGATGTTGCTAGAGAGTAAGTGTGCTTGGTCTGGTGGCAGCTGGTAGGCAGTAGATTTGAGGGCTCAAAGTAGTAGGCTCAAACTGGGGTAAATGCCAAAAAAAGGATTTTATTGAGCATATATTAATAAACTTACAGAAAATGAAGAAAAGATATACCAGACTACAGTATGTCTCTTCAGCTTGTCAGGATACCCAGTTTGTCAGCAAATGGATCCCTTGGAGCCAGCTGGCAGCTGTGTGGCACCCTCTTGGATTGTTAGGTCTACACTGAAGTTCAAAGGGTTTGGCATATTCTGCTACCATTTTATTCTTTTTCATAGAATAGGAAGTATATGTAACACAACACATGGGGATAGCATGGTGGCACATCTTATCAGTGACTTGGCCATAATTCAGACAGTTGACCAGGGGATAGTTTTAAGTGAGACATTGCTTCCACTGCACAACACCTGGAGATAGTCTTTTTTTTAAATAATATTTTTATTAAAAGTTTTAACTACAATAGTAAAAGATAATACAAACTAAAAAGAAAAAGAAAAATAGAAAGAATAAAAGGGGCAAGAAAGCAAAAAGAGAGAGAGAGAAAGAGAAAAAAAAAAACTAGAACAACTTCCCACCCTCATCATAAGTATAAACAGTTTCACGATCTCTTCACCTTCTCTTGATTAACAGATATAAAACTCTTCATCCCATAACTCAGCTCTTATCTATAGACAAGTCCAATAAGCAACTTCGTTTCCAATCCAGGTGTGAGCAAAGAGTCCAAACGGAGCCCTAAAATAAAAACATTAGTTAACAAATATAAAACTCATCATTCCATATCTCACTTCTTAACTGTAAGCAAATCCAATACATGACATCTTTTCCAGTTGAGATGTTAGCAAGTCCAGAAAGGAACATCTAAAATAACAACATATCCTATTTTAACCCTGATCAAATAAGCTAACTTTATGTTCCTTCCTTTTGTATGAAATAATCTTGCTCTTTAATACATTCAAATGATTATTGTCCTTTGTCTCAAATTCTTCAGAACTTTAACATCTGGAGATAGTCTGATGGCATGCATATCTCGTCAATAACTTGAGAACCAAATATTTGATCATCTGCTGAAGATATTTTTACATGAGGCATTATTTCTAACTACCACTATTTTCCCTCCCTTCTGCAAGTATCCAATTAGGAAGCTTGTGTTCTTATCTTAATTGTTACAGTCAGCAATACAAATAAAAGTCTCAAAGTTATTTAATTGAATTCGCAAAGCTTGTTAAGTAAATGTTTGGAATGTGGAGGAATTTATAATACAATACTGTAGTGCAATTTGCAAAGCTTGCTAAGTAACTTGTTCTAAGCACCAGTGTGAAGGAATTTCATGTTACATGTGCCGAGAAAGAAAAAGTGGACCACACCACTACAGATCTTTGATACCACTACAGCCAACAATTTTACCTTTGAGTTATTTCAGAACTCTTAAGTGGATGTTATCAGAATCTGATGATTTGTCACAGACTTCTTCGCCCAGTAACTGATTTCACTTTTGACCCTTGTGCTTTGGAGATGGACAGTCAGTGTGTTCCTCCCCTGCCAAAATCCCTCTCCAAACTCCCCTGTTCCTGCATGACCACTTATTCACTCAAGCTTTTTGCAAAGCTTTCCAAAGAGTGCTTGCCTGGAACTGACTTCATGTTTGGAAGCATCAAACATCCTGGGTGGTAGTAATTGCTACTAACTATATGTGAGGAGGAGCTCTTGTGCAGTGAAGTATGAAGATACCTTCAGAGTTTCTTGATTTTGCCTTTAATCTCTGGTACAGAGGTTCACATTGTCTCAGCCCTGCTGTCATTTTAAATAAGACTTGAAGACCTGGCTCTTTCTCCAGGCCCTGGGATGAGAAATTGTGCTTTTGACACCTTTTTATTATCAGACCTTGAACCTTCTTGGTTTCTGTCATTTTTATCTGGTTTTGCTGTCTTATTGGAGGATTTATATTGGCTGTTTTTGTTTTAAGCTGCTCAGCGTTGGTTGAGTTAAGTGGCCCTGTAAATATGATTAAATGAATAAACAAGCAAGAAGGCACTGCTTTTCTGTGGTAGCACCAATGCCGTGGAACAGCCTCCCAGTTGAGAACAGGCTGGCCCCCTCATTAATGTTTCAGAAGCTTTTAAAGACAAAGTGGTTCTGGAGGGTCTTCTCCTGATTTTAGCATGCCATTTTCATTTTCTATGTTTATTGTTTGTAGTTTTCTGTATGGGTGGTGTTATTGTTTTACTACTTTTATAGTTGTTATACTGTGGATGTTTTACTTGGTTTTTATAGTCCAGGAGTCTCTGGATTGCAGCAAAGTAGAAATGTGGAAAATACATACATGCCATATCTCAACGTAGCTACTGTGGTATACTCCCCATTTGGAAGTTGTAGCACTGGCATTGGTTTGGACTTCCTCCTATCTTATAATTGAGTTACCTTTATTGAGGTGATACTTAAAAATAAACATTTTTTGTTTTCGGGCTTGTGGCTGCAAACTTACTGCAGTGGTCTAAATCAGTGTTCCTCAACCTTGGCAGCTTGAAGATGATTTGTGGTCACCTTCACCATTATTTATTCCTGGGTGGGGGATGTTGGGTTGGTTGAT